GATCCTCTCCTACAGTGGGCCCAGGGTCTTCATTCTCACAGTCCCTGTGTCTGCCTTCTAAGGCCTGGGTGGTGTGGTCAGAGCATTTGCCAGTGAAGACTGAGGAAAAGAAGTGTTATGAACCTCAGCCTTCTCCAAATCCTGTGTAGCCAGTTCTCCTGATAGCTTCCGGAAAGGGCCCACGTTGTTCCTAGTCCATCTTTTATTTACAACATACCTACAGAATCCCTTCCTGTTATCTTTCACATCCCTAGCCACGTTTAATTCTAACTGGGCCTTAGCTTCCCTAACCTGGTCCCTAGCTTCCAGGACAACATCCCTGTATTCTTCCCAGGCCGCCTGTCCTTTTCTTCTGCCTTTTATAAGCCTCTTTTTTCCTCTGAATTTTCCTCAGCAGCTCCTTATCCATCCAAGGAGGTCTCCTGGCCCTCCTGCTGCACTTCCTTCTAGTTGGGATGCAATACTCCTGAGCTTGTAGCAGGTGATCCTTGAGTATCAACCAAGAGTCTTGGGCCCCCCTGCCCTCTAGGGCTACATCCCATGGAACCTTCCAAAGCAGGTTCCTGAAGAGGCCAAAGTCTGCTCTCCTGAAGTCCAGAGCAGTGAGCTTGCTGCACACTCTTCTCACTGTTTGAGGATCTTGAATTCGACCATCTTGTGGTCGCTGCGTCCAAGGCTGCCCTGGAGCATCACATTTCCAACCAGCCCTTCCCTGTTGGTGAGCACAAGGTCAAGCATGGCACCTCTCCTTGTCAGCTCCTCTGTTACTTGCAGAAGGAAGTTGTCTTCCACACAACTGAGGAACCTCCTGGATTGCTTGTGCTGGGCTGTTCCGTCCCTCCAACAGATATCAGGGTGGTTGAAGTCACCATGAGGACAAGGGCCTGTGAGCGTGAGGCTGTTCCTATCTGTAGAGTGCTTCATCCACAGGTTCTCCTTGATCAGGTGGTCTGTAACAGATCGCCACAATAATGTCTCCCATCGCTGTTCTCCCTTTAACCCTGACCCACGAACTCTCTATCGACTGCTCACCTGTCCCCAGACAGAGTTCCATACTCTCCAGCCTATCCGTAACATAAACGGCAACTCCCCCTCCCCGCCTGCCAGGCCTGTCTTTTCTAAAGAGCCCATAATCTTCCATTCCAACACTCCAGTCACAGGAGCCATCCCACCATGTTTCTGCGATACCTATTATATCATACCCTCATAGATGTGCACACATCTCTAATTCTTCTTGTTTGCTCCTATAGGCGTTTGCATAGAGGCATCTGAGCCGAGCTCCAAATGAAGCCAGCTCATTGGCTGGAGCAGCTGAAATATCTCTACATCACTCCGAGCATTTATTATAGGTGCTGGCAACTGACTGAGAGTGTTGGGATGGAATGATGCCCTCCTCCCCCAACACATCTAGTTTAAAGCCTCCTTGACCAGTCTGGCAAGCCTCCTACCAAAATCGCTCTTCCCCTGGTCAGACCAGCTCCACCAGTCTCCAGTAGACCCAGCCTCCCAAACTGAGTCCCATCTTCTAAATACCCAAACCCCTGACTGTGGCACCGCTGTTCTAACCATTTATTAACCTGGCCAATTCGCCTAGCCTTTTTAAGGTCCTCCCCTCTATCCTGGAGAATTGACAAAAAGACTATCTGAACTCCAGAGCCCCTAACCACCTCTCCCAGGGCTCTGTACTCCTTCTTTATGTTCTCCGGTCTACTGCTGCCTGTACTAGCACCCACATGAATCACTACAAGGGGGTAATAGTCAGATTTACTAGACCAGGCAGCCTCTCAGCAACACCCTTGATCCAACCCCCTGGTAGGCAACACACCTCTCTTGAGAATGGGTCAGGCAGACAGATGGGTGCCTCTGTGCCTTTCAAAGTAGAGTCCTCTACTACTATGACCCGCTGCTTTTTTCTGGCAGCACCAGGTGTGTGGCTCCTCATTAGTCCCCTGCAGAACTGTGAAGTGGTTCTGGGTGGGGACATCAGATTTAGGAGGAAGCCCCTTGCTTTTAATTGTTCTCTTCCTCCTTTTTTTATTGGTTTCTTTGGTCACTATTTCCCATCTTCCCAGGTTAACAGCCTCCTTCTTTCCTCCATGAGCTACAGTGGATGCTTGAGGCCCCTGCACAGTTTGGACCTGGAGCAAGCAGTGCTGCTCCCTCCCAGCTTCCCTGACTTCTTGCAGCCTACTGACAGTATCCCGCAGCTCAGCCCCTGCTGCAGGAGGACCTCCACCAGGGAGCACCAAGTGCAGCCCTGCCCATTGTGCACCCTCCCCTCACCAGACCAGTGCAGGCACTCTACACCCCGAGCTCTGCACTGCAGCCTCCCCTCTCATCGGCTCTGTCTGGTGTGGACACTACCACCACTGGGGCAGCCAGAGCAGAGATCCCAGAGAGGGCCCTGGTCATGAGGCGAGTGCTCACCTGCCCGCGTGAACTGCTGTGCCATGCCACGTCCTACTCCTGGTCACTCACGCTCCCCGGGGCAGGTTTCTAACCAGTGAGGGCTGGTGCCACTGCTCCTGGCTACACCCCTGTGAGTCCCTGCTCACGTCAGCTGAGCTGCCAGCTCATGGGAAAGCCTTGTCGAGGACTTGAGGCTCCCTCAGTGGCTCTCGCCACTCTGAGTTGAGGCTCCTGGACGCTGATCTCCCCCCTGCTCTGGTGTTGAAGGCATGCTCCCTCGAGCTACTCATTTCAGCAACTGACCCAAAACATCTTACTTGGTTCATGGAGGCTGTGCACACTGTATCGTTTGGTCCAACAGCGTGTCTTTTTGGCTGTGCCCACTCCCCCATAGCTTTGATCCTCTTCAAGTCCCTACAGAACTGTGTAAGAACTAACTGCCCTCAAAGGCTTACTCTGCAGTTATTTAAACTGCATTATCAGCTCAGCAGGAAAGGTCAGGGGAAGGAAGGTAGATGCTCGGACACAGGTACCCAAAAAATGCCTCAACGCAGGTTAACTATCCCTTCTCCTTTGAAAGATTCTTAGTAACTTGCACAGAATCTTTCAAAAAATGTAGCAAAAGGACAAAGATTTTAATAAGAAAAGGCAAATACATTGTTATTCTATGAAGCTGATGTTTGACTGGTATCCCAAACAAACTGGTAAATGTATGCAAAGACACATGTAAATGTTTCACTAACCTGACAACCCCGGAGTTGTTTAAGCTGCAGTTTTTTATAACTGAGGAAACATCAAACTGTTTTCCAAAGACATGTTTTGGTTTGAAGCAGCAGCACCATTCTGAAATTAAACTTATGACTAAACCCACTTAACCAGGCACTGTGCTAGATGGCAGAGGAGTCTCAATGTGCATGCGCTAGTTTTCTTTTAGAAGTAAGTAACCAAGAAGCTTCGCTGGAGGTATGCACCAAACATGCTCTAACCCTTCACATCTCCATTACAGTCTGAACAGACGACTAATCCTTTGGATAGATGATTTTTAAAGTCTCTTCTTCTGACAGAAAAACAGACCTTCTCTGACCAGTGACTGGAATAGAAGACTTCCAGAGATACATTTCGGAGAGTAAATTTGTGTCTCTCTCAAAGATACCAGAACTTCACATAGTGTCAATGCAAGCACCATGGCACTAACTGATTTGATTTTCTCCTGTTGTTTCAAATTATTTGCTAATTTAAGCATAAATTTCTGTGTCCAATAACTCCTACTTATCAGCTTCATATTCTAATTTAATACAATACAATTTACCCTGGCTAATAAAGTAGTATAGAACTCTCTGAAGGTTTCTTCTTGCAAAGGTAGATTAACCCGTGCAATGCTCGTTGTCAAAGATAGACTACTGCAGAACTCAAGTACACTTCTTTCAAGTTAGCTCAGACATTTGTACCCCACACTGATAAATGCAGTTAACATGCCGCCTGTGTTGTACACGATGAGGAACTAGAAAATCATAGTGACACGTACAACCTGAAAAAAACGCTGACAATCATTAGGTGGTGGAAATTAGCTTTAAACTTGGTATTATCATCCTCTCACAGTGGCTAATAAAATCCATTATAAAACAGAATTCATTCCAATTTATCTGAATATTCATTAGCAGCTCAGGATACATCCTCTCATCTTTAGTTCTGTGATGATTTTAACATGTACTCAATGCTGTCAACATGATTCTAATGCCTTAGTATGAAGATGTACTTCTTATTTTGTCCTAAAAAATGATAGGAAAAAAAAAACAGGGAGAAAACACAAAAAACTGATAGAGAACTAAAGAGTTATTCGCAAGACTAATGCAAAAAAAGGCAAACTAAGATCTGTGCAAGTACAAAAATATCTCCTTCCAGGCAAAATGGTCTCAGCTTTCCCAGAATCAGAATGAAATTAAAAGGTTTATATGTGTGAACACTTCCACTTAAATCTTATTTCCTACAAAACCTGTTTTTATAAAGATGTTTTCTCTTTCTACCCATTCATCTGAAATAATGTTGTCAACCTTTCTCCAGATTCAGTGGATTTTGCTAAGAAGCAGAAGTCTTCCTAATTAGTAATTTTACAAGTTTAATAAAAAACAACAAAAAATAGAATGAAAGAACAGTACACACTACCCCAACAACAGTGCAACAGTACCCCAGTCATGTGTTGAAGTGTGAGTGGGAAAGCAGACACTACAGGTAATTTGTGTGAAGAGTAGAATCATATAGTTTGGGTTGGAAGAGCTCCCCAAAGGTCATCCAGTCAAACCCGCCTGCAATGACCAGGGTCATCATTGACTAGATAAGGCTGCCCACAATCACATCCAGCCTGGCCTTGAATGTCTCCAGGGATAGAGTAGCCACCATCTCTCTGGGCAACCTGTTGTGAAAGATGGAAGTCTTTACAATGAGAATATTCAAGCAAGTTGACAAGATTCCCTTGCAAGCTATGTTTCCTTAGTTCTGCTAGTCATGGAATAATGTCTTCACTGAGTTACTGCTGCTGCAACAGAAATATTTAAACCTTAATTAGCCAGAAAAATTCAGACAATGAACTTTACCACATCTGTTCCATGTCTTCTTTCCAGCAGAAGTCGGAAGGCATTAGCTGTAATCTTGTTATCTTGGACACCTTGTCCAAGGCCACGGTTGTCATCCTGCATAAGTCGACGATCCATGATCACTTCTAACTGACCTGAAAGAGCAATACAAGGATTATACTGGTAAACAGAACATGTAAAGCTTGTATTAAATATAAGAAAAATACCCTTAAATATAACTTAAAGAATCCCTTTTTTTTTTTTTTGTCTTGCATATGCAACAGTAATAGCAGATCAATACTGTTAGGACTGAGTATGAAAACAGTTAATACCTTTGGGCTTTGGCTGTTAATATTCTTCAAAAAACTTTTCACAAGCCTTTCAGCAGAAGGTCCTGCAAATTTTTATTAAGAGTCTAAATAGCAGTTTAACATGAAAAGTTACTACTATTAACTAGTATCTGTAAGAATAATACTTGGCACATAAAGAATCAAAGAGAAGAATCAGCCCAAGTAGCTGCAGCTGTATGGATCTTCTGTAGAGGAACTATCATCATCTTATACTCCATTAAAAAACGCACCTCCCAGACACATTTTTTTCCTTTTTTGTTTCACAGTTGGAGGCAGAAGGAATCATAGAACATTAGAACCATGGAAACACCAGGTTGAAAGGGATCTCAGGGATCATATGCCAACCTTTCTTGGCAAAGAATGACCTAGATGTGCCAGTATCCTGTCCAGCTGGATTGTTGGGGAGTGTGTCGATTGTTGGGGAATCCACCATTTCCTTGGGGAGATTAATCCAATGGCTGATTGTTCTCACTGTGAAAAATTTGCCTCGTGTAAAGTTGGAACCTCCCCAGGGGTAACTTGCGCCCATTACCCCTTGTCTATTCCATGTATTTGTTGTAAAAAGAGAGTCTTCATTTTCTTTGTAGCCACCCTTTAAATGCTGGGACATGGTGATAAGCTCCCCCTTGAGACTTTTTTTCTCCAGGCTGAACAAACCCGGTCCTCTCAGCCTTTCCTCATACAGCTTCCCAGTCTTCTATGTTTGTGGCCCTGCTCCAGACCCTTTCCAGACTGTCCACATCTTTTTTGTATAACAGGGACCAAAACTGAACACAGTAGTCCAGGTGTGGCCTGTCAAGTGCTGAGTAGAGTGGGATAATGACAGCTTTGTCCCCACTGGTGAAACTCTTGTTGATGTAACTTAGCACCCTGCTGCCTCTCTTTGCCACAGGTGCACACTGATCATTCCTATTGTGCTAGTTGTCTACCAACATACCCATGTCCCTTTCTACAGAGCTCCACCTCAGCCAGGTAGCCTTGCTGCACTCTTAGATTGGGTTTGCCCAGGTGCATAACCTTGTCCTTGTTGAACTTCGTAAGGCTCTTGTTAGCCCACTCTTCCTATCCAGGTCATCCTGCAGGGTGCCTTTTCCCAATCCTAGGCTTCGACTTGTGGTAGCCCCTAGGTGAATACACTCCATAATTTCCCCAAGGACTGTTGTAAAACTGATGGGCCTATAATTTCCTGGATCATCCTTTGAGTCCTTCTTATAGATGGGGGCAGTATTTGCCTTATTCCAGCCTTCTGTAATGTCCCCTGATCTCCATGAATTCCCAAAGTTTACAGAGAGCAGCCTCGCAAGGATGTCAGCCAGCTCTCTTAACACCCTCGGGTGGATATTGTGGACACAGGAAAACCATGCAGGCAATACAGTATATAAATGCTTACAACTACTCCTTCTCGTAAGAATATTTTCACTTGTGGGAGTATGAAAGTACTTTGCACCAGGTGAGCACCAAGTATGAAGTTCCGAGTTCATAATGAACTGTAAACTTGCCATTCAGTTCAGAATAGCTCTTTAAGCACGACATTAAATCGTATCATTCACAGCAGCCCTGTGTACGACTTGGGGGTGTTGGTCAATGAGAAAATGAACATGAGAAGGCTTCAGTGTGCGCTCGCAGAAAGCAAACTGTATCCTGGGCTTCATCTAAAGGAACATGACCAGAAGGTCAAAGGAGGTGATCCTACCCCTCAACTTGGCTCTCATGAGACCTCACTTGGAGTACTGTGTGTAGTTCTGGAGTCCTCAACATAAAAAGGACATGGAACTGTTGGAACAAGTCCAGAGGAGGGCCACGAGGATGATCACGGGACTGGAGCACCTCCCGTATGAAGACAGGCTGAGAAAGTTGGGGCTGTTCAGCCTGGAGAAGGCTGCGTGGAGACCTCATAGCAGCCTTCCAGGATCTGAAGGGGGCCTATAGGGATGCTGGGGAGGGACTCTTCATTAGGGAATGTAGTGACAGGACAAGGGATAACGGGTTAAAACTTACACAGGGGAAGTTTAGACTGGATATAAGGAGGAAATTCTTTCCTGCTAGGGTGGTGAGGCACTGGAATGGGTTGCCCAGGGAGGCTGATAACGCTCCATCTCTGGCAGTGTTCAAGACCAGGTTGGACGAGGCCTTGGGTGATATGGTTTAGTGTGAGGTGTCCCTGCCCATGGCAGGGGGAGGTGGAACTAGATGATCTTAAGGTCCCTTCTAACCCTAATCATTCTACAATTCTATGATTCCATAAACAGGAAGAGAGAAAGTAGGAAGCAGAAATAAATTTGTGGCATATGTACTTTACAGTTTTGATCAAGTCTCTCAGAAGCTGATGTTGAGGACTGATGACAACAAAGTGAGAAATCCTACTCACACTGCTGAGATCATCTGATAGCTTAAGAGTTAAGTGCTCCATAGCAAGGAACCTGTCTCTAATCCAAGAATGAGATAAGAAACAACCATCTGTTCATAGAAATCTCAGATGATGGGTTTTGCCTTGAGTCAGACAGCCTTGGACACAGAGACACACAGTTACTAAAGGCACTTGGCTAAACGGCAGTGTTTTTTAACTTTATTCCAGGATCCCTTTGAGATACTGAAGGGCCCTCAAAAGAAGCGTCATGAAGCATATGACTTTCAGTAGCTACAGAGCCTTCAGCTTCATTTTTATTCTCTTTTAAGGAGCCCAACATGCCCACAGAACAAATGTAATAAACAAGAGTTGTTTCATAAAATATTACTAATGATAACAAGTCAGATGAATACATTCTTTTTCTTTTTTTTTAGTGGAGGAAGAGTAAACAGTTGATGCTACTAATTAACTGTTAACCTTGTATGACTAAGTTTGCCAAAGAGTGACATAACTAAGAAATTGATGTCATGACCAAGTATGGGATACATCTTTTGCTTTTTTATTTAACTGGAGTACGGAAAAAGCCTCTAATGTCTGACTGAGTTGAAACAAATGCTCACAGAAAGCCAGTATCTTCCTAATACTTAACTGTAATGTGTCAAACAGTGCTAGCCTTAACTTCCATAACATGAAGACAGAGACTGGAGGTCTATGAGGACTTAGATCATAGAATGGTTTGGGATGGAAAGGACCTTAAGATCATCTATTTCCAGTCCACCTGCCATGGGCAGGGAGGCCTCACCCTAGACCAGGTTGCCCAAGGCTCTGTCCAACCTGGCCTTCAACACTGCCAGAGATGGAACATTTATCACTTCTTTAGGCACCAGTGCCTCACCACCCTCACAGTGAAGAACTTCTTCCTTATATCTAACCTGAACTTCCCAGAGTCCCTGATGAAAAGTCCCTCCCCAGCATCCCTATAAGCCCCCTTCAGATCCTGGAAGGCTGCTATGAGGTCTCCACGCAGCCTTCTCTTCTCCAGGCTGAACAGCCCCAACTTTCTCAGCCTGTCTTCATACGGGAGGTGCTCGAGCTCCCTGATCATCCCTGTGGCCCTCCTCTCGACTTGCTTCAAGAGCTTCCTTGTCCTTCTTATGTTGAGGACACCAGAACTGCACACAGTACTCCAAGTGTAGCCTCATGAAAGCAGAGTGAAGGGAGAGGATCACCTCCTTCAACCTGCTGGTCACACTTCATGCAGCCCAGGACAGTAGGCTGTGAATGCACACCAGATGTTGCATTATTCTGTGATGCAGAGGCTAGGATTGTTAATGAACAGACACCATTACAAGGTAACAGAACGTCTGCACGCTAATTTAGTTTCCAGTACCCAGCAAGAGATTACAAATATTTGGTGGTGTCAAGCTCATTCACAAGATCAGGCTAAAGGAAATGTGATTTCTCCCAGTGGAAGGCATGAAAAAAATTGTGGTTTGGGTCTTGCATCAGGTGGTGTTGGAACAAAAGCCTGATATTTCCAACATGGCTTCATGAAAGCACTGGCCTACAGGCCAGCATTAACTCTTTGCCTCAAAATGAATTAGGCTTTTTAATACTGCCATCAATCTAGTGCAGTAGTCACCTTTTGTCAGAATGAACACTAATATGACATTTTTCTGTAAAGAAACTGGGAAGTATATTTTGGTACAGTTTCTGATACACTTTTTTCCTTCAAAGTATTTATTTCATTGTTTTTCAAAACCATATACATTTAAACTCGCAATATATTACAGCAAGGAATTACACATCTTAAATTATTAATTGCATACCTTATTTTCCCACTACTTGCTAGTTTTATTTGAATGGGTAGCTGCCTAGACTGAACAACTGACTACTCTTTCATCCCTCCAGGTCATTCATCATAGCTTTCTCTGCCTTGAGGGACAAGACTGTGTCCTTTTCGAATTCTTAATATGAATTAAGTTTACTTGTCAACATATTCATCAACTCTCTCAAAGTACTTCATTAAATTTGCGAAGTATGGTTTTGCTTCAGAGGAAGCATGCTGATTATTAGCCAGGGTAATTTTTATCCTTTATTTCCCTAATTTTAGTCTTAGAAAAGCTGCTATTGTTTTCCTCTACAGGGATGTTAGGCTATACTTGCATATACCTTTAGACTAGTGCTTTACACCTTAAAGCAAACAAACAAATCAAAACACATGATCAGCATCACATTATTCATCTTAAGCCCTCTGCTACCACAGCAGTACAAAACAGAAAAAAGCACTTAGTTTCACTGTTTCCTCCTTGAGTTCCATCAGAGTTCTTAAGTGAAAAATACCTGGTTCTGAAAACATATTGCCCATTTTGTCCTTTTCGTAACTTCTTTCCTCTGTCTCTAGTTTGAGACAGATCTTCCATTGAAGATGACAGGATCTCATGTGGGAACAACCTCTACGTCCTCCCTTACTGACATATTCTAAAACTTGTCAGAGTTGGAGAAAGGTATTTCCTCAAATGCTAGTATGTACGGTAATCTCTGAATGAACTATTTCAGACAATCATGAAGGATAGGCCTTTATAGTATCTATCATCTTATACTTACCATTTTTCAAGCTTGCAACACCTAGAGACTGAGCTGAATGAAGTGTCAAACGAACACCAGCATCCTGGATATAAGCCATTGTAGTCATAGGATAGATATTTGCTTGAAGAGGTAACTTGCTCATCGTCAGTCTGGGCTGGATCTGCCATATGAACATGAACTTAAATAAAACACATTCTTTTTATGCATTTAAATTTCTAAGACCTTTTCAGACATTTGTCCCATGTGCTTTAGAAGCAAAACCAGCACCAAAGCACTCACTTGACTATATTATTTAGCTTTTTAGAGGTTTGTGGCTAAATTACCACTTTGAAAATGATAACTTCAGTGTACTTTTAGATTCATCAAGAGAACCTAGAAAAAAGGAATAATCATAGTTAAAGACTAAGAGAACTTTTTTTCTCCTCTGGAGACCAAGCAGTGAATAGATTCAAGGCAGAAGAAAATGAATTGTTGGCTTGTAAAAGCAGTAGTGGGATTCTTGAATAGTACATGATAAATGAATAGTAGTATTAAAATTATTTTCAATTTTAAATATTCACTTTTCTGTCTCCAGCAAAATGCAGTACTACACACTAAGTGGAAAAAAGCACTCTCTTACCCATCAGGTATGGTTTTCAAATCTATGCGCAAAACTATTCCTAGCAAGAAAAGAAGGTAAGTAAAAGAAAATTTGCTTTCTTTTGTACGTGCTGCGGGGTCCAAGACAAGAAAATGGTCACACTATATTTCACATGACACATTACTAATAGGAGAAGTTATTACACTTCAAATACATCACTTATTTCCACCACAGCAGCAAGCAGTTGTTCGCTAGGTCTGAGTTGCTGGACCTTATGCACATCTGGCATTGTGCTATCCAAAGGCCTCTAATTAAATAGACAAAGCAGAGGGGAAGAAGACATGCAGATATACAAGCAACTACACAGTAGCTTGTCATAACTTGCTGTTTACAACTCTTACGTTAAAAAGGATATAAAGGAATATTTAACAAAATTCCTGAAAGAAAACAGTTGCTACTTTATCTCATCTAAATCAAATTTTATAATGCATACATTTTTAAAGCTTTCCTTTAAAATGATTAATGGAGTTTAATGTTAAGAGTTTGACTAAATTTGACTCAAACTCTTTACAATCAGAAGTATTAAGGCAGCCAAAAACTGACACCCTAGACTTTTATAGTTAATAGACTATAATTACCTGATATCCATTAAGATCAGTATAGAATTTATTTTCACTGTTTATGTCAGACGAAATTCTCATTGCAAGCTCACGATTATATTCTCCTCTAATATCCACAATATTGGAAACTTCAACAGACTGGCCTTCCAAACCTACATAAAAAAGACGCATTTAAAACTTCTCAATTTTAAAAAGTGATTGCCAGATATATAAAAACGCCTGCGCTCCCAGAACACAGTGATATAGTTTTCTCCTGCTAGTTTTTCTTTTTCTGTTGTATTTAACCAAATACTTGAAGCTGGTTCAGTTATGTACAACAGTACTTCTAATTCAGTACTCATGGAACAGATTTTGAAACCTTCATGTAAGTAGAACAGAAGCAATTAATGAAAACAGCCAATGTGGGTTCCAGAAAATTAGTAAGAAAGAGCACATAACTATTAAGTTCTATCTTTAGCATTTAATACACTGGAGCAAGACCTAGTCATTTACAGCTTTTCCTGACTCTTAAGTGGCTGTCACTATCCACAGATAAGAATGAAATTACCAGCTTCTTGGCAGCAACTGTTCCACTAAGCCAGTCAGCTGTTTTAACCAAAATGGGGACAGTGAATTAAGTAGTTGCAGAGAACAACAACCATGACAAAAGTCTTTGTTGATGGGGAACAAACACATAACTATTAAAATAAGGATTAAGTAACTGAAATGCAGACAGATGTTCAGTGAGATTTTTTTTCTACAGTGCGTCCCACTGAAAATTGAGTACCTTTAATAATAACCTGACCATTTCAAATAGTCTGAGATACAGTTTGGATTGGAATCATTCCATCATTCAGCATAACCGCGTCTACCCTTTCTGTAGTATAATGGGACTAAAAATTGTGGACAGAATTCTGACAAGCAGAACAGATACGAAATACCTCTTTGTAGTGAGATGACAGATTACGTTGTGCTCATTTGACAGATTGTAAACAGACGATAGTAGAAAGTAAGGGACTGATTAGCCAACTTAGTTCTTTAAAACTTCTCAGTCAACACATAAGACCCAGAAGAACTGAGCATCATTCTGGGTCCTGAACTGTAGCATTTATTACAGAAAAATACTTCTGAATATTATTCCTAAATTCTGAAGCATGTGGACAAAGGTTAGGACTTCTTTTTCATTCTACACATACAGTTTTCAAATTATTTTAACAGTTCTGCTTGAGAACATGCTGAAGTTTCCTTAAGGTCTTTACTTTGCTGAAATCTGAACCAAACACTGAACTTCACACAATGGAATGCTGTGACAGACTGAACTGAAAAAATCAGACTCCACTATCCATTGTCTCAAAGATTGGAATGAAAAGCTGAGATGCAAGTCCACTGTCCACTATCTGAGAGATAGGTGGGAAGAGTTAAGACCTCAATGTCCATTACCTGAGAGAAGGGTGTGAGGAACTGAAATGGGACTCGAGAGTCCACTGCCTGAGAGATGGGTGAGAGAGCCGAGATAAGACTCTTCTGTCCATTATCTCAAGGAGTGGTGTGAGCAATTGCTGTCCATTATCCCAAGAATTGCTACAGACATGTGAAGTTGCAGACCTGGCTGCAAGGCCAATGAAACTGATCCACCAGGAACGTGCAGTACGTGACATTAAGAACAGAGGTATTCCCCCCAACTCATAATATATGGGGAAAAAGGTAATCACCATGAGAGACACCCTCCATGGGGATACCACCTCCAATGACTACTATGGACCCTTGGGGCCACTCTCCTCTGATGCAGACTACAGATCCTGGAGGACTCCCACCACCGAGGATGACTACTGTGGACCCACGGGACACCACTGGATCCACAGTGATGACCGTCTCTCTCTGTATCCCGAATTTTTGCTTCATTTCTATCTTTTTTCTGATCTGTCCTATTGCTAGCTCTTGTTTATACTAATTTCCTTTTTATAATAATTCTTTCTGTAATAAACAAACTGACGGATTATGGTACTTGACCTTGATGTATTTCAGAAAAATTTCGTCCAAATAGATGAACAACCGAAAATACATGTTTCCTACTTCAATTACAAAACAAGTTGCTAAGCCACTGGCCATCATATTTGAAAAATCATGGCATTCAGGTGAAGTTCCCGATGACTGGAAAAAGGGAAATATAACCTCCATTTTCAAGGAAGGGAAAAGGGATGACCCAGGGAACTACAGACCAGTCACTCTCACCTTTGTGCCTGGAAAAATCTTGAAGCAGATTCTCCTGGATGGCATGCCAAGGCACATGGAAAGCAACAAGGTGCTTGGTAACAGCAAGTATGGCTTCACTAAGGGGAAATCCTGCCTGACCAATTTGGTGGCCTTCTATGATGGGACTACGGAACTGATGGACAGGGGTAGAGCAGTTGATGTCATCTACCTGGACTTGTACGAAGCGTTTGACACTGTCCCACACAACATCCTTGTCTCTAATCGGAGAGACATCAATTAGACAGGTGGACCACTCAGTGGATAAAGAACTGGCTGGATGGCCACACACAAAGAGTTGTGTTCAATGGCTCAATGTCCGGCTGGAGACCAGTAACGAGAGGTGTCCCTCAGGGATCGGTGTTGGGACCGGTCTGGCTCAACATCTTCACCACTGACATGAACAGTGGGACCGAGTGCACCCTCTGCAAGTCTGCCAATGACACCAAGTTGTGTGGTTCAATTGATATGCTGGAGGGAAGGAATGCCATCCAGAGGGTCCTCAACATGCTTATGAGGTGGGCTGATGCCAACCTTATGAAGTTTAACCATGACAAGTGCAAGGTCCTACACCTGGGTTGGAGCAATCCCAGGCACAGCTACAGGTTGGGCAGAGAAGAGATTGAGAGCAGTCATGCGGAGAAGGGCTTGGAGGTGCTGGTCAATGAGAAAATGAACATGAGCCAGCTTCAGTGTGCGCTCGCAGCCCAGAAAGCAAACTGTATCCTGGGCTTCATCAAAAGGAACATGACCAGCAGGTCAAAGGAGGTGATCCTGCCCCTCAACTTTGCTCTCATGAGACCTCACTTGGAGTACTGTGTGTAGTTCTGGTGTCCTCAACATAAAAAGGACATGGAACTATTGGAACAAGTCCAGAGGAGGGCCACGAGGATGATCAGGGGACTGGAGCACCTCTCGTATGAAGACAGGCTGAGGAAGTTGGGGCTGTTCAGCCTGGAGAAGAGAAGGCTTCGTGGAGACCTCATAGCAGCCTTCCAGTATATCCAGTACATGGAGACCATAGCAGCCTTCCAGTATCTATCCAGTATGGGGATTGACTCTTCATTAGGGAATGTAGTGCTAGGACAAAGCGTAATGTGTTAAACAGGGGAAGTTTAGATTGGATATAAGGAAGAAATTCTTTCCTGTTAGGGTGGTGAGGCACTGGAATGGGTTGCCCAGAGAGGTTGAGAATGCTCCACCCCTGGCAGTGTTCAAGACCAGGTTGGACGAAGGCCTTGGGTGACATGGTTTAGTGTGAGGTGTCCCTGCCCATGGCAGGGGGATTGGAACTAGATGATCTTAAGGTCCTTCCCAACCCTAACTATTCTATGATTCTATGATTTATATCAATTTTCAAGAAAATTACTTCATATAATTGCACCACGATTTCCTCCCTCTTTCTCATTCTTCACTGGCCGATTTAATCACCAGGTTTGGAAGTGCACAGTTTCAAAAGTTACTTTCTGTAATTTTCTTGGGAACAAGCTGTGGAATGGTACAGAAAGAAAAAAATGCAAGCGTTACTGAAGGAAAAGCAAGAAAAACAAAAATGAAATTCCATTCATTTCAGTTCAGAAGTCAGTATGCTGGTGTTTAGTGCTGACTCTGTCACAAGATCTTCCAAGCAGATAATGGATGTAAAGAGGAAGCTCATAGATAACTAAAGCATGCCTACAGTTATGGAGTAAACCAGGCTTCACTATTAATGTCCTTAAGAAATAATCTTTACATTCTTTGTGACTTCAGAGAAGATATTGTTCTACCTCCATCAGTAAGTTTGAAGCTATAAAAGAAACTATGTTTCTACCTCATCTCTGAGGTATTTCTACCTCTATTTTTCTTGCCATTTTCATAATTTACAGCTACCTACAGCACTCAGATCACCCAGCAGAGTTCAGGACTCCCTAGCAGGTAAAAGCCAAGACTGCAATGATGAAAAATAACTAACGAGACACACAAAATATTACAGTTCTTACCCTGGACTTTATATAGTCGCATGGTATGTGTCACATGGTTGAAAAAACATACAACTTCTGAGAAAATCCTTCCATGAGCAACTCTTATGGTAGGTGGGTCTGTAAAAATGTAAGGCTAGAAAAAGAAAGTTAGAATAATTATGTTGAAAGCTTTGCATAGAAGTAGTGCCAATAAATGGAATTATTTAAAAACACAACCTGAAATTCAGCAACTTCTCTTCAGAGCCTCACTTTTCCTGTAGCTAAAATTAGGATAACCCTCATTACATATCTTACTGCAAGGATTATGAGGATTAATAGATACAAGGCCTACAGACAAACAACGTATTAATATTTGCAAACATCTGGACTGCTGTTTCTTGCTAGCAAAACCGTACTTGCTAACAAATCAGTTTGTAATCAAACACTGTAGTTTTGTATCCTGTGGCAGATGGTTTAACTGTGTGTTTAGTTTGCTCACAGCCTACTGCATCAGTGATGCACACTGCATGAGGAAAGATTCCTCTATACTGTCTTGTGGATCAGTTTGCATATCCTTTTCAGTGTAAAAGAGAAAGCTTTTTCTTCATCAAAAGCAGCTGCAGTTGCCATGGGAGCCCCCTGGAATGTGAGGTAGTGTTCGAAACCATTAAGCGACCTCAAAAGGAATATTGTCTTCTTACTAATGTCTCTCAAAGACTAGCAGAAATTCCACCTATCCACAGCCAAACCAAAGAGATATAGCATATTATTTTCCCATGTAGTTACGGTATTTTGTGACTGCCATATAAGCAAACAACTTTTTTGAAACAGCTGATCCCAAATGGAACTGCATACATTATACAGAAATACAAGGATATCTACAAAGGTAAAAATGGGTTAAATATTGTGTACAAAGCCAAAACTGAAAATACAGAAAATACAACACATGCTATTACTACTGTAGGGCAACAACAATGAGTAAGGACTTCACTGAAACCAACCCCCAACAAAATACTCAAAACCCAAGTCATTTGGAATAATATAAGCACAAAGCTTTTAGAGGGAGGCTGTCTTCCTCCTGTACATACTAATATTGAAGCAGGACAGAGTATGCTCTTTCTTCATCAGCAAGAAAATCAAAGATCAAATGTACCTTGAGGAAGAGAGGAAATAAAGACTACATACACACACAGAGAAAAGTCAGAGAAGATAAGAGAAGTACAGGTCCATATCATCGTACCTTCTTCAACAATGTTACAATGCATTCATGGAGAAGATTTCAAAAAATATTATAAAAAAAAAGAAGAAACTGAAAGTGACTTTCAAAGACTAAGTTTGCTTTTCTACTCACATACTTATTCCTACAGCTTCAGACAGAACCCTGTTAAATAACAGTTTTGCACAAGATCCAAGAGGGAACTCTGCAGCTATCAACTACAGGAGTTTGGAAGAGGAATCACAGTTGTTAACACTTCAGTAAGATGGGTTGTTTCAGGAAGAGAGGGATTTTTCTACTGATGATCTTACAGATATGTTTTATCCAGTTAATTTCACTGGAACTATCCAGGACCAAACCAGCAAAATGGAGAGATGCTGGATGAGTGACGAAGGAATGCAAAATGCTGTGCCGTTATTAAAAAAAAAATAAAACAAACAGAAAAAAGTTACCTGGATTACAGTTCTACAACAACAACACCACAACAAATAATAATGAATGAACCCCATTCCATCAAACTTGTTAGTATAAAACATGATGGTGACATTGACAACTACCAGAATACATCGTTCCCATAAAAGTAGACAGCAGAAGTGAGATACATTTATCAGCTCTCAGATTCTGGGATATTGCCACAAATGCTAAGTTAACACACCAGAGTCTCCAAGCTGCTCATGTAGCCAGATCTGCTCCCCAGCTGAAGATATATGGGAACGATATGGAAAGATGAGGTGACAGAAAAGGAATTAAGTGTCATTTTGCAGATACTGTCCACTTCCTAAATGGTTAAAATTAGTAGTTACTGCAAGATCTGTCTGTTCCCTTCACCACCCCTGGAATGAGTTCCATTGCATGAGATTCAGCAGCTTCCTGTGGCAGGTTCTATTGAGCCTGGAAAGCAGTATTTTCAGAAACAGAACAACAACAACAGAAATATGGGTCAAAGGGTCCAGAAACTATTTTTCAGTATCATATTCAAGAGAAATATGACAACCTCACCTTGAAAGAAGTGCAGGGGGAGAGCGAAGCTAGAAATTTTAAGGGAATACTTGGAGCAAAATAATATCCCATAGCTCCCTAGGGTATCTTAAAATACTTGGCCTCAAATTGGGTGCCAAAGTGTCATGGGACACAGGATAACTGGAGAAATGCCTTCACTTGAAGGTTTGCTGGCACAGAAACTGTCATGGAATGTTACAGCTCAAAGGCATAAAGCACAGGCAATAAGCCTCCTCCCTTGTAGTCAAGTGAAGCACTACTAACCATCTTAGTATGGCTTGGAAATTTCTGGCAGTGCAGCACACTCTGTTGGCACAGAAGTCAAATAAACTGTGCCCAGAGGAAAGTTTTCTACCACAGACTGAATTTCTTTTGATATGCCTGAGATTTTGGTGGAAAACAAACCAAAATCAAAAACCAAAACCAACCAAACAAAAAAAACCCAACAAAAAACAAAAAAAAAACCCAACAAAAAAAAAACAAACACAAAACAAAACAAACAAAACAAAACAAAACAACCAACCCAAAAAACCTCAAGACAAAACCTTCAAGTTGCTTCTGAATAACAGATAAGCCTTCATTTGGCAGCATTTGAGATTAGACTGGGCGGGAGGAGTGGGTGGGTCAAATATTATGAGTTCTCAATAACTGTGTTATAGGAATTATGTGGCCGGAAAGAGACAGTTGTAATTTTAATATTTTTGTCTCCAAAAGCAACCCCACCAATATGTGAGCAGATTTTCAAACGATAAATGTGATGCTTAAGGAAACATATGTAGCACCAAGAAGGGAACAGACACTTCAAGGCAGCTGATTCTTCAGTATTGTGAGCACCCTCAAGGTAATGGTGCCTGCATACTTGTCTCTTCCTATATCAGGCATGCAAAACCAGGGAAAGCTTTAAAAGTAAGAATACTGCGCCTGAATGATGATCCTCTGCCCCTTCAAGAGAGAAGATAAGGCAGATAAAGACGGATACTCAGAATGGAGATTCTTTTTTGGCAGTGGAACATCCAAATCTCACTTACAAAAAATGCAGAAAAGTACCACTATCTTTTCCTTCAGTTTGAAGGCCAAAAATTGAGATGAAGTCAGGTATGTGTTCTTTGCCAAAGAACAGACGCAACAGATAATCCTAGCAGATTAAAAAAGGGACTGTTGTGAAAAAAGTTCCTTGTAGCTAGTAGCAGCAGCTTTAGCTATGCAAGTCAGAGATCAGCATTAGTAAAGGAAGTCCAACCACAAAGTGTGAAGAGATAAAAAGGTAGAAAAGCTCTAGCATTAGAGATCCTGCAGGATAAAAATGGGAAAAAAATAAAAATCTCTTAGTAGTCTGTTAATATATAAGTACTTACAGCAACTAGTACATACGTGGGTGCATAGACACAGCTGTCTGAGAAAGAATCACAAACCTCAAAACATGTGCCTCTATGAGACACTGTTAGAGAAAATAATATTATTCTGTTCACTTCCAGGCTCATTTACATATATAACAACAACAAAATAGAGTTATTACCCTTTCTTATTTCCTGAAGCAGCAGATATACACTCCTTGTTTGTGATCCTGCAAACTTAAGTTTCCCCAGGAGAAACTGGGCAACAGAAATATACTGCAAACTAGATAGTTTCTTAAAATTGTTCATTATTTCATCACTTGCTTTCTGAAATATCACCTTTCCAGTTCCAGAAGAGGTACAGTACAGTCCATATGGTAATTAGGTCAGTGTAAGAACACAGTCGCATCTGAATTTCCAACTTGAAAACTAATTGCATTATGCTGTTGCCCTCCTCATAATTATGCATCTAAAAATACTGATAACCCTAGACAACCAAATTGGAACAGTTGCTTACAACTCTGTTTTCCCATTTATTGTAATTGAAACTCCGTATCTTAATTACTGTAGCAAAATATATTTGCTGATATTCGCTAAATAAGTGCTACACTATGAACTGGAACCTCCTCATTCACAAATTAAAGAAATCTTAAGAATTACAAAAGTGAAGAAATGCAGAGATGAATCAAGTACGTCCTATACATTTTCTCCAGAGGAAGTGAAAGACCTTACTTTATTGATAGTGAACAGTCACATCTCACTTGGTATCTTGCAGGTGCAGCACGTTATTTTTTTTTTTTTGGTGAATCATAAACATTCTGTACATTTTCAAATTAATGCTCACTTTTTACCCAAATCTAGGATTATGAAGTTCTGCCAATCATTTCAATAACTGATGTCATTATTTCTAGCCATACAGCTCTGTTTCACTGCTGGTGAAATTAGCTCTTCCAATCTTTATGAATGCATGAATTTACTCCAAGATTAGAATCTCTCTTCAAACGGGAGATTTACCTTGGCATCTCCATCTGGTAAGAAGAGATAAGCTCCGCTTTTATCCCGGTTACTTGTAGTTCCATACCAAGCAAACTCCACCTTCATTTGATGATTTTTACCATCTTCTTTAGTACTTATTTTCTAAGGATAGAGAATCATGTTTGAAATAGATAACATATTTAGGATTCCCTATATAAAACCAGAAGTTCTTTATGTTTTGAAATAAAATACAACACACCTCCAGTAATCCAGACATTCCAGAAAACCACAGTTTCATGTAAGTGTTTTCCAAGATTATATTATCCACAGAATTCTCCATCTCTTTTATTTTGAAAAGTCTATCTGGTTTCTCCTGCCTGCTCTTCCTCATATATATATTATAGTCTGCTAAAACTGCTTCTGAACTCTGAACCTCCAAAAGCTGGTAAACTCCAAGCCCCAGAGGTGGTAGATGTGCCACAAAAGAGATCTGTTGGGAGCAAATAAGAAGGCATTATTAAAAATATCGAAGAGACAACCTTTTATACTGTATTTACACTCAGCATAACTCCTTTTGCTTTGGGAATTTTAGGATAGCTGATTTTTTCCCATATTGCATAAATGAATATGAAATTATAAGCGACATTCTAAAATGAACAGCTGAAGTATATTAATAAAATTTAGCAAACAAAAATGTCTGCATTGCTAATTTCCTTAGCATCAAGATCACTGTTGTATTAATGAAATAACGGTTTTGAAGCCTTTTTAAAAAGAATGTTAGCTGTGATGTGCAGTTCTGAGCTTATTTACTGTGCACTGAAGATGCATGTATGGTGTATCAAGTGCACACAGACCCTACTTTGGGTTACAATGGACCTTAAAAGATCATCTAGTTCCAACCCGTCTGCCATTGGCACATATATGATTTATATTCTTTAAAGGAACTAGTTTCTCTCTGCTATAAGGCAAAATTCAAAATTATTTAAATTACAAGTTGCATTTAAAGATCCACAATATTAAATAGTAAAATATAAGGCAACTGTCTCAATTTTAGTTTTTGGTTATTTAGGAGCTATAATTGCACAGAAGGAACAGTTATATAAAAGGCAAATCTCCAAAGCAATCTGCTTAAAATCTGAGGTACAGATATGTAATTTTATTTCTTCTTCAGACAACTGTGTTAATTACTGTACTGGTTTTGGCTAACAGTTACATTTTTTCATAGTAACTCATATGGTGTGATGTTTTAATAACAGCGTGTTAGCTATCACTGAGCACTGCTTATGAAGCATCAAGGTCTTTTCTGCTCCTCAACCCATCCAAACCAGTGAGCAGGCTGGGTGTACACAAAAAGCTGGAAAGGTACACAGGCAGGACAGCTGACTCATGGGCTACCCCATACCATATGGCATCATGCTCAGCATATAAAGCTGGGGGAAGGGAAGGAACAGGGGGGATGTTGGAAGTTACGGTGTTTGTCTTCCCAAATAACTCTTAGATGCAATGAAGCCCTGCTTTCCTGGAGATGGCTGAACTCCTGCCTGACCATGGGAAGTGGTGAATGAATGTTTTGCTTTGCTTGTGTTGCCTTTTCCTTTACCCGTTGAACTGTCTTTACCTCAACGCACACATTTTCTCATTGTTACCTTTCAATTCTCTCCTCCATCTCACTGCGGGCAGTGAATGAGCAAGTGTGTGCGGCTGAGCTGCTGGCCAGGTTTAAACCACAATAACTGTCCCTTCGTAAGATAACTGAGAGACACTTACTGAATTACCTTTTGCAGGAATATTATTCTAAAACAAGTACAACTTGGCTCCCAGGTCAGAATCAATCAGACTTGAGAATGTAAGCCCAAAAGTAATACAGTACTATTACAGTAGTACAGTACTATATACCACTAAGAATTTAAAGTACAGTTTCTGATGTGTGATCAATGACAACAATCTTCTATAATGACGCAGGATTCAGAAATTATCCAAAACTTTGTTTGAAACCAAAACCAAGAAAAGCTGTCTGTCTAGCATGAGTAGAGGAGTAATGGAGATTGCTATCCAGTCTCTGCATCAGGAAGACAAAATGACAAAAAAAATACCCCAAAAAAACCCCACAAACAAACAAAGAAATCCCAAGTCACTAAACCAAACACTGAAAAACCCAGATCTAACTGCTTAAGCCACTGCACTTAGAAAACCTTTCCGCTGGAGTGCTTCAGCACATACAGACTGTGTATAGCTCTGTGTATAGACTACCACCTGAAGGAAAAAGCTTTATCAAATTAGGGAGAAAACACACACATCCAGTATTTTCTCTTTACATAGCTAAAACTGATCTTTTAACTGTTATTAAACTTCTGTGATGGGTAAAAGAAATGTTTCTGTTGAATGGCATTATCTGCAGAAGACAGAACTGCCAATATTTGAAGTATGCTTTCCATTTTCTTCAGTTGTGAAACTATAATGTCTGTCAAAAAATACAACTTTAATGCTTTTTACTTGAAGTAGCATACCTGATATGCTTCATGTGATACTGTAGCTGCTCCATTCCAAACAGCACTAATCTGGACAGTAACAGGTTTTCCCAAAGGAGATAGTAATTTAACTCTGGGTGAATTCACACTGACTGAAACCACTGAAAATCGCTCTTGTTCCATAGGATTATATATCAAAAGGTATCTGCAAAAACATATTTGACAAATTATCTTTTGGCAAACAAATTTCCTCCTTCAGGTTTAATATTTATTCACATAAATTTTACATACAGAGCACTAAAACAAGGTTAGAACAACAAGTACATACCACAACAAATAAATATGCAAAACATAATCAGGAAACAATGGATATTTAACATCAATTCTTGACAGATCTTCTTTTCTTAATGCTATTATTTTTCAAAGCAATTTTGAAAATACCTTATGCTAAAAATACATGTATTTCCCACTTTACCTACTAAAGAATTGCTACTAACAAATGCAAGCACAGTCAAGATATTTAAGGGCATTCTGAATTTACTTTTCAGGCTGAACTATTAAACTTTCATCCACAGTTGTCTTCCCTTTAACGTAATAGAGAAACACTTAAGTAATGGACAATACCTGTTGTATATACATAGAACCATAGAATGCTTTGGGTTAGAATGCACCTTAAAAGATCACCTAGTTCCAACACCTCTGCCATGGGCACATATATGATACACATTCTTTAAAGGGACTAGTTTCTCTCTGCTATAAAGGAAAATTCAAATTTATTTAAATTATAGATTTACCAAAATTCCCCATGGAAAGGTTCTGCATGTACATTGAAATATTTTTATTACGTACATACAGAATAGCTAATTTTTATATAATCTGTGTTCTTCCCTTGGAACACAGATCATGTTACTAAACAAAAGAATCAGCCCTGAAATCAAATACAGAAACATTATTAGCCAACAGGTTTCACTTGGTTTTGGGCATTTTTGTTGTTGCATTTGTTTCGGGTTCCATTAGGTTTTTTGTTTTTTTTTGTTTTTAATTACAAGTTTCTATATTGTAAGGTACAGAAAAATAAAATTATACTAAAACATTTGTCCCTTATGCATCCACGTAACACTATCATTATACTTCTTGCCTCTTCATCGCCAAGCTCAAAGAATGCACTATTTACAACCTGTTCCCTCACAGTTGCTTCTGTCCATTTCACCTTTTAGAAAGAATTGTCCTTAACAATGAAAAATGTTCCTGCCAAAATTTCTAACAAATTTTTAGAAACACAGCTGAACTAGTATTCTGTCTTCAACTTCCTTGACCCTTCCCACTGTAAAACAGTTTACTCCTTCATGAAATCTTATCTTTCATCAGTTTCCATGATACCTAGTTCTTCCGTATGAAATCACACCCTTGGAATTTTTTTTAAGTAGATTCTCTTCATTCTCTGCTCCGTTTTCTACACAGGGGGTTGTCAGTGGTTTTCTTTCTTTTTTCTTTTTTTTTTTTCTCTTTTTATTTTTCTCTCACATCTTAACCTTCTAAATTGAATTATCACTTTCACAGATCAAACCACTTCACTCACAATTGTCTCCTTCCACCCAAACTAGAAAACTCATACTGTCACTCAGGTCTTTCACGCACACATCACCTGAGGTTGAACCTCTTTCCATAATCTCACATTCTGACTGTTAGCCTTCCAGATTCCTTACTCGTGCACTTAAATGCTCGATGCTCCGTTATTTGCTAGACTAGCACTACAGTACAACGAAGGTGCTGCTAACAAGTTACTTGCCTAGCTAAACCCTTTAAACTTTTCTCTTTTCCAACACAGCTCTAAACTGACTGAGAGTAGCCACTCTACACACATGCCAGAGGAGAGTGAGGTCTCTCTTATGGTAGATAAAGTCTGGCAGGCAGTGGACAAAACTGCTGCTATGATACTTTGGAAATAAGGAAACCACAACATTCAGGGCTGACAGGCAGCAACAAACTGCTTAGTTAATAAGAAAATACAAATTTAACTCCTCCTTACTGTGAAAGAGAGGACTTCTACACAATTTTAGTGTAAGACAGAGACTAAATTAATCCACCACTAAACTATGGAGGCAATACAGAAACCTAGAGGAAAAAATTTTCTTTTTCTCCATACTGGTGAAAAATGTCACCTAATCTCTTTCCATCCCATCCTTTGATTTTTTTTGCAACAATAATTTTAACAAATGCGTTTTACTCTATGGACACTCAGAATCCTTATGAATATTAACCAGGCTACAGTTTTCCCCTTATATTTTCATTGGCTCCCATATTTTCTGCATCAAACTGAGGCTGTTCATCTTCAATTTTATAATTCACCGCTACCCTTTTACCTCACAATCAGTAGGAAAGGTCAATTCCAACTTCTCATTAGTTAAATAAACTAAACACAGAGGCTGTGTTCGCTTTTTCTATCAAGATCCTTTGGATTACCTGCATGCATAGGATCTGCTACCTATAAAAATTACTTTCAACACCTTAGAGGAAAATTCCTGTGCTGAAGTAAGTACTGCTAAATCATGACTCATGTGCATAACAACTATTTTCCTTGCATATTTGCACATCTAACTGTGCTCAGTTTGTGCTCAGTTTCCTCCTAGCACAACAAAAATCACTTTGGGATGCTCTCTTTTCTGCTTCGTTTCATGTTGAAGACTCCTAGATTACTAGACAACACAATAGTAGATCGTGTTCTTGGTCAGCTTTCAGCATCTTTAAGAACCTGTGCAAGACTCTGTAACAGCCTCCCCTGGACTTGGGTAGGTCATTTTACACTTCTGCTTAATTGAAAAGACCTTCTTTGTGGATAAAATTTTGACTTAATTATTAATGTATTTTCTTACAGCAGTTATGAAATCAAAACCAAACTAAACCAACATTGGTCCCACTCCAGACCCCTTAAAATGTAGGAAGACAAAATATAAATAAATTAGTGAAATACGCTAAGAACTCCTCATATACTGTGTAAGAATCGTGCCAGAAACAATGGAGATCTACAAGATGATCCAACACCAAAGCTAAAAATAAACATCATTCATGAACAGAACATCATAAAAATCTTTAATTTATTGTTTCTCTACAGTGGACTTCCTCAATTCTTATGCCTCCAACTAAAATGCTGGCTAACGCGTACAATCTGTTTCCAGTGATGTTATACATCCTCCTTAAATATAAATTATCTGCCAAATAAATATGACCGTAAAAATATTTCCAGAAGCTTTGTTCACCTTCCCATTGATATAAGCACGTTTCATAACTTTAGTCACATGACAAATTTACCCATGACAAGAGACCCTAGCAACTGCCGTATCATCACTATATTTCACCAGACTTTTTTTTTTAATAGTCAGTAAAACAAAGCTCGTGTGGTATTCAGTTACATATGTTTTATACTTCTAGAGTCAAGGTATTTTAAGTGCATTATAGGTATGTAAAGTAATAATGCAGTCAAATGAACCTAGTAACGAAAGGAGAGATTTTTAGCAGGACACCTGCAGGAATTTTGCACAGGTTGCAGTATTTTGCTTTCAAATTTTAATGCAGCAGGACTGAAGTATTTATACTCAAGATATAATGCTGGTGCCTATACAAAAGCACTGACTAATGTAATTAAATCACATCACTTCTGAAGTACTATTCAACTCCCACCCTTAAATACTATAACTATTTTAAATTCTGTATGAAACACAAAAGCTGCACTTCACTTAAGCTGTATCATTACAGTGAATGATCTCTACAAATGCAGAGTACAACTGCTTAATGTATTGTGGTTACATTACACAGAGAAGCAACTTAACAGTACTTAAAGCTTTTCTATTCCGGATTTTAAGGCAAAACCATGAATATTATTGTCTTTCAGAAGCAGTAATCAAATTTTCTTTCATTATTCAGATCACTGGTCTTTGGCAACAGCACCAAGAAAACTACGAAAGCTCACATCTTTTGTCCAAATAAATGGGAAGGAGTTTTCATACTTACTAGTAAAACTCAGATGAATAGTTACCTGAAGTATTTTGCTTTAGAAACCCTATTATGGCCAAGTCTCAGCTATCATTTCTGTCATTCATTAAAGAGATCAAAGAACTCTGAAACTGTTTTAATATAAACTGTATAGAAACAAAAGGAAATAATGTAACTACAGATAAACCACATCCAATTTACTCACACAGAGACCACATATTGCACCTGTGCATCGGGAGCAGGAGTAAACTGCTCTCAGCCCCACAAAGAAATGAGAAACACATGCAGATTTGAGCTCTTGCATCTCTGATGTGCAAATATTTGCAATTTCAGAAAAGCAAATCCTGACACCAGTTTTTCAGACACTCTTAGATATACCTTGAATTTTTTTACCCCATAATTTTCTGGGTCTTTGAAACCTCAAACAGGTATCTTTTATTCATACAAGCATGATAATTTTCCTTATATAACCTGCATATGCTATTAATAAACCCTTCTATTAAAGATGCACCTCCAAGCATCAAAGAATATTTTAACTAGTCTGTCCTGTAAAGATTAAGCTTTCTTTGAAGCATTTTCAGCCACAGCTGAATAAAAGCTCCCCTCCCCCATTCTCACTGTGAATACTTTCTTTCTTATTGTAAATTTTGTTCCTTAAACTGAAAAGTTACAGTATTTCAGACCACTGTTCTTTTTGTTTTGCTGATGTGCATACATATATGGACATACATACATATTGACGCATACACACATTCACTGGTAACACCTGCTGCACAATTACCATTTTCTTCTAAAGCTCATTCAATGCTGCCTTCACAAGCAATCCATTCCAATAATGTGAGAAACCAGAAGCAGTAAATGTCAGAGGATCATCACTGACAAAGGATTATTCAAAAAACCACTTCTTCAAAACACACTCAAGACAGCTTCGGACAACAGCTTTAATTGCCCAGTAGAGGATCTTTGTTCGTTTGCTTTGAGAACCAATTTCTCGAGGCGCTCCAGCTCAGACTGATCAATTTTATTAGAATCTGACAAACCGTCATAGACTAGAGCATTCTCCATTGTAATTCATCAGAATCAGGCCTCTGGACATACGCACAATTTCAACAGAAAGTTACATGAACAGCACCTTTGACACTAGCCAGTTTTTTTCCCCTCTGATACAACAGAGGCTAAGCTAAAAAAACAGTGAAGTGGTGAAAAAAGCAAAAC